CCTTGGATACCGGCCGGCTGCTGGTTTCCTGTGCTTTTTGCTCCCTCCCGTGACCATGGCCCCTTGGTTTCCGCTCGGCCTCCTTGGTTCCCGCGGCTACCACTTTGGTTTTTCTCCATTGTGTCCTATTAAAAGTCAAATTCTCGTTTAAATCTAATAAAGAAAGGTCATTCCTAATATTTTCTAACCAAGTCTTTTTAGGTCTACCCCTACCTTTCTTAACATAAGTCAAATCTAATACCTCTACTCTCCTAACCGGGTCATCGCAAGGCCGCCGTTTTATGTGACCAAACCATCTAAGGTGACTTTCTCTAATCTTATCTTCTACTGGAGCTACTCCAACCTTTTCACGTATATGCTCATTTCGTATCCTATCTCTAAGGTTAAAGCCACTCATCCACCTGAGTATCCTCGTCTCTGCCACACTTAACTTAGTATTAAGCCTCTCTTTTAAAGGCCAACATTGGTTAAATGATTGATAAAATTAGTGTTGAAAAATTATGAAGAAAATAGAGATATAGTTGTTCAAAAAAAACTTTAGCATAGAGTGTGTTTAACATCTCATGCAACAACTGATATTATTATTAAAAAACAAGGATTATACGAACGATTGGAAAACCAGAATTCATAAATTGGCCGTGAATTGTTGGGACAAGATTAATAAAGATGGTTGGGACAAGTTAAAAAGAATGGTGGTGCTGAGTTATCTTATTTAAGAGAAATTGTGGATTTTAGTCTATTATCTTGTTTTAGCAAACTTGACCTTACGTCCATTAGAAATTTCTGTGCACTCAAACAAGTGTCCCATGTCCTTCAGTCAATCTGGAAAGATTTTCAGTTTGAATGCTTTTAAAATTATCTACCTCTCTACCAACATGTCCATTTAAATATCCTCCAATAAAAACTCTTTTTTCAAGAGGTATATTTTGTATTAATTCTTCTAAGTCATTTAAAAAATTTAATTTAGAACTCAAATCCAAACCTACTTGAAGAGCATAAGCACTTATAATATTAACAATCTTATCATCAACAACAATCTTTAAAGCTATAATTCTATCTCCAATCATATTAATTTTTATAACATTATCCTTTAAATTCTTATCTATAATAATACCTACACCATTTCTAGTACGACTCCTATTCGAATACCAAAGTTTAAAACCTAAGCTATCAATTTCCTTAGCTTTATCTCCAACCCATTTAGTTTTATGAATGCACAAAATATTTAACTTCCTATGAATCATAATATATATTAATTCCATTAATTTTCCTGTAAGGGAACCTATATTCCAAGTTCCTATCCTAATTTTAGTTTCATGGACTAGCTTTTTTGCCCACATCCGTCCTTGATGTGGGGACCCTTGCCTATTTAACACTGCACCGAGCGCCGGTGCAGCGGCCCTTGCACACTTGTCACTGTATTCAGGCCATACAGCACGTCGCTTCCAGGGGACGCCCTAGCATTAACACAATTTCTTAAAGGATTCATGTCATTATTGTTCGACAAGTTTTACGCTGGCTGTCGACTACCGAACGCAACCCTCCACTTTTCTCATCCAGGACTTGGGACCTGGCAACGGCAGTGTTAATAACAATCATGAATGCGAATAATTTTTTTGATATATTGATAGAAGATGAGAAATATAGTTCCATTGGCTTTTGCATGTAGCTACATATTTTTAAAATCCCGAATACTTTTCTAGTAATCATGATATTGCAAAAACAATGAAATAACTAGTGGATTATATGCATGCATTGTCAATGAAGAAACCAAAATTAGTAATAAATTGAGTGTATACATCAGAGGTGAAGGACTTTTTGGTTTTCCTTCAACTATAGAATAAATGATCACTTGAGCACCATGTAATATGGTTTGAATAAAATTATAATTACTATTGTGTAATATTTTTGATTTTTGAATGATAATGAAAGTTATTAAATAATTTATTACCTATAACTAATTGGTGGCTAGTGTTGACACATCTTGTGACACCCCATCAGCAATGTAGGGTGCAACAGAGAAAACATCAATTTCTTTAACATTTATAACTCATAGTCATCTCTCTCTATGTATATATATAAGCCACAATTCACAACATTCCTCTATAAATAAAAGTAGCCAAATTGTCTCATTTACATCATGTATATATAATTACATAGCCACTAAGAATCCCAAAATATTACAATAATAAACAGTCGACGTACCTTGGCTATAGACTTTCTTATACAGCTTACAACAACACATAATGTTCTATATTGATCTGAGGCTATTCTGCGTTCACTGTAGCCTAGCCCCTACCTATAATAACTACCATAAAAAAATCTGGTGAGCTATGAGGCTCCGAAAGATATGCAATTCTAATAAATAATTCAATGAACAATATAGTGAACAATATGATTGCATTCCTAACTGAAATAAACTTATAAGGTATATATATATATATGCTCATGTGAATTAGTAATAACAACATATTTGTTATAGTATTATATGTAGACATTGATCATGTCCTTTAATGATTGAAACATCACACTTTGCACTTATAATTATAAATATCTTACATTTTCTTTGAAGCCTATAAATAATATCATAAATTCATAATTAAATATCTTAGGTTCTGGCAATATGTATAACATAAAATTAGCTTTTATAGCTTCATAATATTATTCAATGGAGCCCTAGTAAAAACCAAGCATTATCGTCATTGAACTACATTGAAGTCCTTTTTTGCCCCACAAGGCTCTTTTTGTCCCACTATATAGGTATTATGACATTTCATTGCCAACCCTCAATTAATATGATATTATACTTTAAAATTTTTTGAACTCATATTTGACTGAAAATTACATGCCTCATGACTTAGTATAATATATAATGCTTGCATAAAAACAATAAGAAAACAATACATAACTCGGTGCTTTTCTTTCCAAAATATTGCCACAGGATTCCTTTTGCCCCTATTACATTCTTCTCTCTTCTCCTTCCATCGAAAAAAGCAGCTCAGCCTCCCCGAAAAGTTTCCCTGCTTCTATGCTCTCCAGCATCAGCCGAACTCCAACACCCTATAAAACTCCTGCTTCCACTCCCTTCAACCCCACAAATCCCGTAAACCTCCTCCTGGGCTAAAGCACGATTGAATGGGAAAAGTTGCTCACAGAACTCAAATATGCTAAGGCCTTAAGCATGACAACCCTCTGATCAACCATGTGTTGATGCATGTTTTGATTAGTGGAAGGCTAGTGCTAATGTACTTAAATGTAATTTAATGGTATTAGGGAAATGATTCGTTGATACAACCATCGCAATGTTAATGACCCTATTCCTTTGAATGATATATATGGAGTTCAAGTGGCTGTTGATTCGTAGGAAACAAGGCTACATTCTGGTTGTGTTCACTTTGGTTGATAACCATATATGTGGTTTGGAGTGGTAGTGAGGTTTGGGTTGGGTGCTAGTTGATCGTAGAGGGTGATTAGGATGTAGAGGTAGTGTGAAAAACATTGAGGCCAAGTGTTTAGAGAAGACAAGTAAAAAACTAAATATAAAAAAAACCCACCTAATTCACAAAAAAAAAGAGGCCAATTTTTTATGCCGCCAAGCAACAAGCAAAATGAAGATTAATTCTCCACAAAAACATAGCAGTCAATAATGAGAATTTTATTTTATATTAGTTCCTATTTATAAGAAAAAAAGACCTTTAAACTTCGTCATTTTGGAGGGAAGAGGAAGTGGTAGAGAACATAATGAAGGTGGTGATTTCCAATATTTTCATTAAAAATTTTTATTTTTCATGCTTTTCATTAAAATGGTTGACTAGGGGTTTAAATAAGTTAGATGGAGCTCTAGTCATAGCAAACTGATTGACTCGTTGCTCAGAAAAGCAACTCAAATTTGAGCTCATGCTCAAGTTGAGCCCAGAAAACAAGATTGAGCTAGGCTCATCAATTCCTTCTCAGGATTAATAGCTTGACTCGAGATGAAGTCCTGTTGAGGCCTTTGCTTTGCTGAAGGAAGTTGCGGCAGAATTTGCAGGTCACAATGTCAATGCTAAGGAAACATCATCAATGCTCATATAAAAGGAGGCAAACTGATTGATTTGTAGAGTCAAAAATCTTGGTGCTATTTGGGTTGGGGATGCCAACTTGTCGTTAGCTCACCTCCACTATTTCTTATTACAAGCTTCTATGTCATACCATATAATTTTTCCCAGGTATAGTGAGATATGGAGGATGATTATTGTGTTGAACACTAGTGAGACATCACCATCCATTGGGTGGTCATGCTAGTGTTGAGGATATGAGCACTAGGCTCACTATCAATGCCATTCATCTTGGAGGAGCATGACATTTTCACTTTATTTCTAAGGGTTTCTCTGCTAATATTGTTTATCGTGAAAAAACTTGATGCCATTCATAGGTGGAGATGATACAACTTTTACAATGGGGTTCATTAATGCTCTAGGTAAAATTTAATGGTTATTCCTATTCTCTCACCTACATCTCATTAGTATCATATATATATATATATATAGTTTTGAGTCCGTATGTGATCTTAAAGCTTGGCAGCAAAGATAAAATTTTCTTAAAAGCAGAGGTTTTATATAGTAGTTTGAAATCTCCCTCAATGTTTAATTTTTTAAATGAGAAGTTTTTATCTCATTTAGAATTACTTAAATGTCTATAGATGACTCAGTGACTTTAAAACATGAGAGTTTGAAGGCAAATGTCTAAGAATCTTTTTTAAAACTTCTCGGGGAAGAAGTTACTTCTCCCTACAACCAGAAAGTTAAGAATTCCGCTTCCGTCATTTGCTGTTTTTTCTTCTTACATGCAAAACAATCCTTGTTGTTTAGGCCTCAATTTTTGTAACCTTCGAATTCCTGATTATTATTATTATTACTATTATCATTATTATTTAATTTGGTTGATTTGATGGGTATGCATCTTCATCATCTTATAATGTCCCGTGAATGTTTTTTGTTTGTTATTTGTATGCTTACCAGGGGGATTGTCAATGGGCAAAATGGCTCCTATTTTTGAGGGTGAGGGGCTATGAACATGAAGCATCATTCTTTAATGCCCGTTCGATTTTATCTAAGCAAATGGCCAATTCTAACAAGCTCAATGTCAATGAAGTGGATGAGATAATAAAGACTGTGGATGATATGGCTGAAGGGGGAGGAGAATTAGCTGCTTTGGCTACGCTGATGTATGAATCTGCCCCACTGCAGAAATTTCTTTGTACTGGAAGTGTAAGTAGACATTGCACTTCATCTTCTCAATGCACATTGGAAAACTTAAAGCCAGGTCTTGAGAAGTTTCCTACATTGTGGAGGACTCTTGTTTCAGCTTGCTTTGGAACAGATTCAGTTGGCATTTCTACGAGCTCAAGTTTAAGTAAATGTTGATAAATTTTAAATCTTTTTTTTTTGTTATATTAGTTTTCTTATTGATCTTGTTACCCTTTTTGTTTGCATATCTTTACTAATTTAACATAACTGGGTATGCTAACATATTCTGTTATACTGCCAGTTTTTGGAAAGTCGGCATTTTCAGACTACTTGAGATGCCGAGATAGCTTGTTTTCATCTGCTGGAGGGGATACTTCTTTGGTGCAAATGCTTCCATGTTGGTTTCCAAAGTCTGTAAGGAGATTGGTTAGGCTATTTGCCCAGGTTTATCATCTTTCCATCAATGTGCACGTAATTTCATACATAAAATTTTGTTTTGTGCGTTTCCTTCTATTCGCTACTTCTTTAGTTCTGGATTTATGAGTTTTTTATCTGTATGCTTCTTTTGGAACTTATTACTAAACGTTTTAGTTTCCATTCAAATTAATAGTACATTAGAAGTAGTTGAGAGCTACTTGGATTTCGGAACCAGGCAAAGCTATCGTCAACATAACTATAATCAAGGATTCTATTTCTTAATACAACTCATCTATTTCTGCTTTTAGTCTTTTTATTATTATTTGGAACCAGCTACTCATCATGTTTTATTTCGAACTTTTTTCAGGTTCCTCTGGGATGGCAATCATTTTCAAGTGCTTTAACTTTTGATGCTTCCATTCTATGTCGAGAAAACAATTATGTGTTTAATGGAAACGTTGATGGAATAAATCCTGTAAGTTGGGAAGCTTCTATCCAGAAAAGTGTCGAGGAGGAGTTATATTCTTCAATTGAGGTAAGTTACGAAACTCAAATGGAATGAGCATAGATGTCAATAGTTGGCCTAGGAGCTCAGATATGGACAATTCACAACTTCTTACATGCACACACAAACAATTAATATAGCAATTTATAACAGGGCTTAACTATTTAAAACCATCATCCCAAGTTAAATACAGGCATTAAACCTCAGTCTTTTCATAAAAATAACTACAAGACGCAAACCGTGTTTAAATAACATCCAAATGTATATTTGTGGTCCAATTTAAAATTTCGATCCAGATTATTTTTGAAATATTATGAAATTAACATACGCCATAAAACAGATATGGACCAAAGTGTCTAAATTTAATATTATACATCAAACATAATTACAAATGTACCTAACGGAAGTTGTCACATCAGTTGTACTCAGAATCACTTCTATGTTCCATCTACTATATTGGTGATTTTCCTGAAAAATAATCATTAATTAATGGTGTTGAGCGAAATGAAATAACTCTGTGAGGACATCACAATTCTAAATAAAAAAGCATAATAGGAAATTAAGCAGTATGTATGCTAATCATGAACATTTCTAACAAGAATTGTCGATATTTGGTTAAGTGTTTTATTCCAATATTTGTGTAGCATTTTTACAATCTTTGGAGAGATTTTGATATGAAACATACAAAATTATTATAAATTTCCACTAATTGATGAGTAGGGGAGTTGGAATCTCACAAATCAGTTAGGTGGTAACAAAAGAGTAAGGAACGAGAACGGAAGTCTTGGTGAGTGTAAAACTAGCGTAAAATATGCTAACGTTTCACACTGACATTGAAGTGAATGAATGGATGCCATCCATTCCATGTTTGGTTGATAATTTCTGAAAGACTGTCCCTAATAATTCTTTGATAAGAATATCAGCAAATTATTCACTTGTGGATAGCTTGTTAATTTCAAATTCTTGGAGCAAATTTTTATTTGAATTCTCTATTTCTTTCCAAGTCAATACCTATTATGAGAATATCATCAATATAAACTTTTGGTGTGGAGACTCTTCTAAAGCTGTGTATTTAATAAATAATATTTGCTCATCTTCACTTTATTTGTATTTCATGTTGAGTATTACCTTCGCAAATCTTATAAGATTAGGCCCTTGGAGATTGCTTCAACACATACAATGCTTTTTTAGCTTAATGTTGACCTCCACGTCATCTCTTGAAATCTCGCTCAAACCCTTGTTGACCCTCATGTCATACCCAAAGGAACCAAAGGGAGAAGAAAGAAAAATAGAAATCCCGCATACATACCTCATACCTGTCGGATCCTCAAAATCTTGCTGAAATCGCGCCGATTCAGCGTCGTTCGCGTCACTTCCTCGCAAATCCCTCAACGACAACCTCGATCGCTGATTTTTGACGCCTTTAAAAGCCAACCAAACGGACACCTTCGGGGCTACTCCTCCCACACGATCGAGCTCCCGTCGCTGCAACCTCACGAACCCCGTCGCCCCTCCTTTGTCGGAACCCCAGCAGCCACAACCTCTGCCCTAGTCCTAACCGAATCCCACTTCTAGGACATCTAGCCGCAAACTCTCACCAGACCGACGACTCCATCTCACCATACCCGACCTTTACCCTCTCTGACTTGCGATTCGACCATTATTATTAGTTAAATTAATAGTAATTTATTATTATCAATTACGGTGATGATAAATTATTATTATTGATCATAAGAATAATTTCATGTACATCTTTTCTCGTCATTATCGCCAATGCGCAAGTATAATCTCCTTACCTTAAAACTCCGAGAACCCGTTTAACAATTTTTGCAACGTAACAAAACGACCACCTATACACGCTTTTCTTAGCGTGGTGGGAGAAAGTTTGTCGCGGTGCTCTCGACGAATCGGGTGATCACTTAAACTCCCTTCTTCGGAGTTCGTAGCGCACCGGAAAATTGCCTATACATGCTTTTCTTAGCGTGGTGGGATGGGAACCCGGTGCGATGCGTACGACGAAACAGGCATACCCATAAGTACCCGCTTGTGGGGAAACAACTATTTTTTCTTTGCAAGAGGTACCGAAGACCCATACACGCTTTTCTTAGCGTGGTGGGGTATCAAAAAAATATATACGGCCGCGGTGTCCTCGTTCAAGGACACCTACCATACACGCTTTTTTTAGCGTAGTGAGAAAGGCCCAGTTTTCCGTAGTTTTCCCCTAAACAGGAGAGATATCGGTAAGCTGCCGAAATTTCGGGTAAATGCAAGATTTGGACTTTAATTTGATTGGACCAAAATGATTTAAGTAAACTCAAACTTAAAAAAGATTGCTTGGACTTAAGTTCAACAAGACTATAAAGAACAAAGAACTTGAATATGAACATGCAATTTGAATAGCAGGGGACTTGAACAAACTGCAAAGGACACGAACTCTGTTCATATTAAATGACAACGGATTTGGATTCAAACTTGAGTCGAACTTGCACATGATTTGAACATTTGAACTCAAGGACTTGAGTCGGACCACAGGAGACAAGGCTTGAACTTTACAAGATAACATGGAACTCATTTCTAAATCAAGTGATTAATAATTCAAAATCAAACTTGAGTCAAATAATAAGTCTTGAACCCAAGTGAACAAATGCTAGGGACCTGATGTGGACTAAAACTTGCATTGAACTTGAAGATGACACAGAATTCAATTGATTCATAAAGAGCTCAACTTCAGTGATTATAAAAGATAAACTCAAAGATGTCAAACAACGAACTAGAGTTTAATGAAATGGGAGATGCAGTGATGTATCTGCAATCAATAGCAGAGTTTCAACGAAATATCAAATGATCACATACAAACATCAGTTTGTGAATCTACCACATGAGATATGAGTTCTCTTCAAAGTTAACAAAGGACCCATAATATATGACATGCATTCAAATGAACATTAAATGGAGGGGTGATAAAGAATTTGACTTCTTGAAGAATAATCAAGATTTCAATGAAATTATCATCCCAATCAGAATGCAAGCGCTAAATTGAAAGGTCTCTTATGAATGGTGGATAATCAATAGCATGTTCAATAAATCATTTAGAATGGAGGATATTATAAAGTGTGTGATGACCATGATGACGGGTCCACCATCATGTGCAACAGATGTGGCAAGGGTACAAGCAGAGCACGAGAAGTGTAATTTGATTGCAAACAGATATACAAAGTCCCTTAATAATAGTGCAAGCTGCATATGAATGTGTTGACCTCTGTTAAGTAAAAAAAAAATCAATTTCAAATCTTACCTACTCTGCCCTCGCACGTCGTCGCCGTTCATTGCACGTCGCACGTCGCTCGGCACGATCTCGTGTCATTTCATCGCACGATCCCGCCTCGAGCCGACCCCATTCGCGTCGTTAAATGCACACGAGAAGGAGGCCTTCGGCCTCTTCTCCCGCTCCAGCTCTTCTCTCGAGCCCTCTCTCCACGCGCGAACTCCCCCTCTCTCGTTGCTGTCCGGCTTCGGTGCTTCACAGGAGGTGTAGAGATTGCAGGCGCCGCTCCTTCAGCTCCTTAGGCTGTTCGACCTCGCTCATTCAACGACTTTCCCTTCCTATCGAGATCGAAAGTTACGACATTTCGGTCGGACACAAGAACAGGAGCCCGCCGACTGTGAAGTTAACTTCCTCCCTTTCGATCGCCTCTCCGACTCCTTCTGTGGCTGTTCGACTTTACTCCTTCGTCGACGTTCCCCTCCCCGATCGGAAGCCGCACGGGAGCTCACTGGCCGAAGGTAACTTTCTACCTTTCAGATGCTTCTTCGGCCAAATACAAAAAAAAAGTTTTTATAATTATTGATTATAAATAATTAATTATTTTTAAATTATTTTAATTATAGTCATAATTATAATTAATTATTATTAATTAATTATAAATTATAATTATTTGGTTAATTATGATTAATCTCGATTAATTATAGTTAATCATCATTTAATTATAATTATAATTAGTTTACTAATATAATAATTATAATTAATAATTAATTATATATTATAATTAATTAATTTATTACAGTAATATATAATTATAATTAATAATTAAAAAAATGTATGTGCTTGTCGCAGCCCCCTAGCCTCGATTCCCGAGCCTCATCATCCATTCCCCCACCATCCGCTTTAAGTGAAAGATGGTGCAATTCCTATTTTAAATATTAAATCTTTCAATCCAAAATCCAAAAACCCAACTTTCAATTCCAAATCCAAATCCAATTCTCAAAATATCCTAAACCCATGTGCTACTAATATGCCAGATGCACGTATTTCTACGTATCTGATCGATGACTAGCCTTAATCGAAAGTTCTCTCGATGATCGGCGGAAAGTAGGGAACAAGCAAAAAGGGTAATTAACTATAGGGGCTTGCGCCTATAGGAAACCAGAACTCAGATCATAAAGTCCTCACAAAATGAGGGCGAAATCTCTGGGTAGTGTCTTATCTACAAACCCATCTGCCTTCCAAAATTTACCTCGGAACCTAGTTTGTTAAAACTCCGTCGCCGAAATAAGAAGAGCGAGCGGGGAGGCCGGGGCCGAATTTTCGGAGCCCACAGAATGACGGCAATCAATGTGTAAAATCCACATAAGTCACACAAGAGAATGTGAAAGGCTCTATGACCAATGTCAAATGTCTTACGAATATATATTAACTCCTACAAGTACTAGGAGATGTATAAGTAAATGTGGTAGTTCACCTCTCAACATACATGGAGAAATTGAGAACAAGTATATGCACCTACAAGCTGTGTAGTCCAAGGTAATGGAGGCTATATCACCCTCGCAATCACATCGAGCTATGGATGAATGCATCTACATGCCTATAAATAACAATAGTAGGTGTATAACAAATATAAAAAAATGGCAGCAAAAGCATAAGGAAATTCATCATATGGTGATAAATGCAAATACCTATAAGTATTTATAGGGGACCCGATGCCTAGAAGTGCAATCGAAGATCAAAGACCCAGAGCAAAGAAGTAAAAGAA